ATTCTGGGAGTTGAAGTCCACTCATCTTAAAGTGGCCAAGTTTGGACAACACTGAGCTATGGCTACCCGTCCCCCCCACTCACCAACAGGGAAGCCCCATCGCTTGCAAGCAGGCTTCAGGATCCAGAGATGCCCAATCCACAGCCACCCAAGATTTTTCTCAGGGTTCACCAAAACATAAATTTCCACCAAATTTTTACTGTAAACCGCCCAGAGTCACTTCCTATTGAGATGGACAGTGACAAAATTTGAAATATAAATAAATAAACAAATAAAATAAAATGGGGCTTTCCAACTCTCCTTCCTAAGAGGAGACATTTCCAGGCTTAGATTTCAGGGTTTCTTTTGGTAAAATAATTCCTTTTTTGGGTTGGTCTTATCAAAACCATCACGCAACAATAGTGTGGAGTTGTTGTCCCCCCCCCCCCCGCACTCTCTGGGTATCAACCAAGCAAGAATGGCTTTTCAGGGTGAAGGATGCAAATTAGTATGCCACAAAAATGCATAAATTAGCAGCATTGGAGATCTGCCAGGATAGAAAAGCAAGCCATATATCCAATAAGTCAAGAAATAAGTTTTGCCTGAAATGCTGCTGAGACGTTTCCAGGAACAATACAGAGCTGGGTGGACTTAGCATAAGATGAGCTCCTATTTTTATCAGCCCCTTATTCAGAATAATATCGACTGGAAACTTATTTTCAGTTTAAGGGAAGAAGTGTGGCTTAGCGTTAGAACATTTACTTTGCAACCAGAAAAGGTTGCAGGTATTATCTTTAGAACTACAGACAGGTTTTGAAACCCCAAAGCAGACCATATTGGATGAAATGGACAAATAATCTAAATTATTTATCTAAAGTCGCTCCTGCATTAGGTGATATGCAGAATCAACTCATTTATTTTGACTTTGCTACAGGAATTTATACTTCTGCTCTCTGCCCTCCAAGGTGACGGACTGAACTTGAAAACAGCAAATTAAGAAAATGCTGGAATGATGCTCAGAGCAGCGATAGGCAAGATGACAGCCCAGAAGCATTTCTTTTGCAAAAAATCCACCCTTATCAAGGTGGACCAGATTAGATTCAATGCAAAACACGAGCCCATTTTATAGATATCAACGTGGGAAACTCGCAAACCTCCCTGTGAAATGGATTTTGTCCTTCGGCAAAGAGTAACCTTTCTAGGGGCTCCCTCTGGAGGTATTAGACACCCACGGGCAGGGGACTGTAGTTCAAATTGGGGAGGCTGGGTTCTGTAGTCTTGGGAATTGATGACGCTCCCTGAGTGACTGCCAATTTTATATCTATCCTTGGATCTATTTATTTTCTATTTA